TGGGAGCCTGCTCTTCATATTTGACAGCAGCTTTTAATGTTGAAGTTTTTAACAGATGGGAGCACCACACCAGCCTGTACAGACTTTTAAAAAGACTTATGTTGTAACAGCCAAAGCATTTCAGAGGCTCAGCACTCCATCATCAGGGTTAAAAACTGGACAATAAAAAAAATACAAAGAATCCTTAAAATAGTATAACAAAGTATAAGTATAATAATGTGTGACAGACCCAACCAGGACAAGAGCTTTGGAGGGAACTGAAGGCTAGCCTCTTGGCTGCTGACCATGGGCCCTGGCATCTTGAGTGGGCTCTATTCCTTGGGAGGCTTGGGAGGTGTGTGCCTGGGGGGGACCTTTTGGAGTAGTTTTAGTTTGGATTAAAGTCCATGCCCCCCTGAAACACACAGATTGAGAACTGGAGGACACGGATACAAATTTGGGGCCTCTGTGCCCAAACCAGCATTGACTGCTTCAACCCCCCTCCTAGACTTAGAACAAATGTAATATGATCAGCTCAAAACAATCTGATGCTGAAGTCTCTTGCTGTAATCTCTTTATTAAGGTGTTATGTGTTTACTGTGCTCATGTTCCATTGTTAATTGAGGTAAAGTGTTACTAAACCCACAACTGTAAAATCAGTCTGTATATGCAGTAAAGCTTGTTAATCACTGTGGAACCTAAGGGATTAATCTTCAGCATTGTGTAAAAAGGCGGTTTGATCATGTCTTCTCTGATCCTCCCCTTCTTCCACAATCTATCTGATAGAACAGAACCTTGGGGGCACTCTGCACATGCTCAATTTGCTGTGTATTGCTAGTGGTTTTTTTTGGGTTTTTTTTTTTTTTTGGCGAGAGTGCATGTGATCAGCACAGGGCCAATCAGTGCTGTCTAGACACAGGGTCAAGGGTCCTGCAGCCTCATAGAACAGTCAGGGGAGAATGAAAACTCCTCCTACAAGATGTAACCAGTGCTCTGCTGGACACTGATAAAGGTCACAAGACTGCTATATACTGCTGATGAGAAAAGGTATTTAGCAGTTTATATTTACTAAAATTCCAGTTACAGCTAAGCTAGTGCTGTCTAGATCTTGGGGGGGCAATGCCTAGCTATAATATCTTGGTCCGGTGTCCCAGCGGCGAGGAACCAGTTCTCTGACTGAAGCACCCAAGCAGTCTGTCACAAAAAGTATATAGATTTATAGCTTTTAACACATTAAGGATTCTTTGTATCTTATTTTATTGTTTAGTTTTTAGCGCTGATGGAAGGGAATGCTGAGCCCACGTAATGCGTTGGCTGTTATAAAATAAAAATCTTTTCTGTACAAGCTGTTGTGCTCCCATCCATTCAAAACTTCAACAAACTCCTCTGGGGGTCCAGCAAGACCCCAAAGTTGCTGGTGAGCAGTCTCTAGGCCTACAAACAACCCATCACATCAAAATGCATAAGGTTCAGCTCTCCTACATCACTAAGAGAGCAGCTTTAACATGGCAGAGTGAACCTCCTAAAAACAGTACAGTTTTTTGTTCATAGAAAAATCATAGACATTGCTTGTAATTCACCTTATCAAATAGTAATCAACATGTTTTTGCTGGATGTTTATATACTTGCTAGAGTGTTCTAGCTGACACTTTGTATTCTGTCACCAGAGGTCTAGGACATGTCAACTTGCAGAGGACACTATTCATAATCATTCTGCACTGTTTTCCCTGCTTACCTCTATCTCACCTCTCCCACACTGCTCCTGGATCCTGTGCATCTTACTCCTGGGGAGTTCTCCGCTTGTCCTGCCCTTTTCCCAGCTCTCCTTTCTGTTACTTGATGCTGCCCATGTCTTAAGTGAAGCTGTAAAGGACAGTGGTGCTGGCCTCACAAAATGAAGAAGGTTAATTGAATTTCTCTGAACAGAGGATTTACTCCTTAAAGTGACAACATACTTAAAGGCTAATAGTTAAAGCCTATCTCTACCTTTTGATGCAATAAAAATATTTAGAGGCAGTGCAAGTATAAAAATGTTTTTGTTTTTTAAGGAGAGGAGGTAATATTTTTTGTAATACCTCCTACACTGCCTACTGACCTCCACATGCAAACTCAGGCAATCATGTACATTGCCCCTTGGGGGTGCGTCATCAGCAACACTGGCATTACTGGATTCAATGCTTTTGGCTCAAACAGTGCTTTTGAAAGTTTAAAACGTCACAATATCGTACTTCCATCAAGCATTGACTTCATATATTTATTTTTGAGGCGTTGCTTGCAGTAGCAGAACAATGCAAATATTAGCTGCCCTTGTGTATTTAAAGTAATTTTCCAACTTAAAAGTCCATGTTTGGCCATTATCAAAGACATTTGTTCTATTATACTCTTCAGAAAACTCGCCTGCTTTCTTTTCCAGTACACATCCTCTGGGAAATCATAAAGAGTCTTTGCTTGATGTAGTAGCTCATCAGGCAGCATTTAACCATTAATGGACCACATATAATTCATTATTGGGATTGTCTTTTGAACTTCAAGCTGAACTCCACACAGTTATAAAATAATGCAGCTCTCTATTAATGCATCCTTATTTTTTCCAGTTCACACAATGGAAGTAAATATCTTTTGACTTGGTATCAGCTTTTTGGAATCTCATATACAGCTGCATTCTGGGACAATTTGCAGACTGAGAGAAGGAATGGCAGCACAGGGAGCATATCAGTTGTGCTGACTTGTTAACAAGGAACATGCTAACAGGAGGAGAGAAGAGTGACAGAGAAGCAGCAGACTGATGAGCTCATTTCCCTATCACTGCTCAGTCACAGGCTGGGGCACAAGGCCTAGTTGTATTAACTGCAGTACGAAAAAATCAGGTCTCCTGCCTTGCCAGACAGGGATGTACTGTGTGGCAGAGATGTGTAAATTTATACAGCCGCTGGATCACTTCCACAGGTGGCCGAAGGGGGTCTAATAGACCCCAGATCTCTCCAAAAAGTGGACCTGTCATGTACCAAATAACGACTACACTGCGGTCATCCAGTTCTGGGAGGGTGTCATATGACGTTCTTCTAGAACGCGTCCTCCCCCGCGCTCCCAGCGGTGTGCAACCGGCGATCTCCGTGATCACTGTGTCCTACGTACACTGCTGACCACGTGATGAGGTGAAAGGCTAATCACAGCAGCCTTTTACCACATGATCAGCTGTGTCCAATGACAGAGCAGATCACAGGTAAATACAGTTGCCGGTTATTGGCAGGACTTTCCTCATGCTGTCACATTGATCGTGATCTGGGCTTGCCAATCTGCCATCCCAGAGCATCAGAGTGCACTAAACTGGCAGCAAAGGAAGCAGGTGGTCGCAGAGAGTACAGGAGCCCCATTAGCCGATGCTTCCTCTGTAGCGCCAGCTCCTGTCCCAGGTGGAATGATACCAAGTGCACTTCTCCGGGAATCTTTATAGCAGCCTGGAGAGTTACGCAAGCAGAAGCTGGAATAGGGAAAAAAAGGTCCGTGTATTAAACAACACATACACTGCTCTTTTGCAATGGGCATGTTAGCACCTACAAAAGGGTTAACTATTAGGCTGCTTTCACATTGATCTGCAGGTGCTGCGCAGTGCACCTGCGGGTTTCCTGGGGGTTAGCAGCACTGAGCCATAGACTTCTATTATAACCTGTGAGTTGGATCCTGAATACAGAAGTTTGGTGCACTTTTAGAAAGTACACTACGCCTGCAAGATATAATAGAAGTCTATAGCAAAGTACTGGGGCGGCATATACAAGAACCGATCCTCTCCATTTTCCTCCTGCAACTGCTGAAGCCAGCTTCTCCTCTCCCTCATGCCAGCATGCAGCGGCTGCAGGAGGAAAATAATCATTATGCTATTCAAAATAAAACCTTTGAAATTCTGAACCATTTCATTTCATTGTGGCCCATGACTGGTTACCAAATCAGTTAAGTGGCCCTCGCTGTTCAAAAGGTTGAGCACCCCTGCTCTAGGCCGCTGCTTAAAAAATATATAATGTTTTGGATGTTTAAATATTTTTCTAGCAAAAAAAAAATGCAGCTTTATATGTATGACAGAAATGTCATAATTGGGCTGGTAGATAAGTAGCTAAATAGTTTTGGTTTGTGGTGCTCATATGCAGTGTAGTTCCATTATTTAGGGCCTATTTAGGCGTGTGCTTTACAGATATGAACATTTTATCACTGTTTAACCACAGTGCAAAGAGTTATTCCAGTATCAGCAGATGTCTAATGTGAAAACACAGATGGATCATCCATTTCTCCTATTCCTTAGAACTGGCATCGCTAAACATGATTGTTGCTCTATAGTTCAGTATAACTATTCTCTTTACCAAGTATACAATTATATGCAATTTACCAGCCTTCTCTAGGCTTGTTCAAGATTGCCCATTGGTTCGGTATATAACTCTGAAACATTCTGCTTTTGGCTGTTCCTCAAAGGTGTTGCACACACAGTTCTTTTTGTTTTTTATTTTGTCCATTAAACTTTCTTATGCTTATGTGTTATTTTGGCACATTTAATTGTTATAATGTTAAAATATGAATTACAGTAAATGCTAAAGTGACCACTGATGAGAGGCAGCAACCTATATAGGAGTTGCATTTTTCCTTCTCCACAAGTGTAGTCACATGTTCAGCCGAGCACTAGTCACATGTGTTATTTTGTAAAACTGATGTAGAACATTTCCTGCATTATTTATTAAAGAAAAAGAGCAATTGTTAAAACTGAATAGTTGCAAAAGAGGGCCATTTTAAAATTTTGATTCTGACCAGGCCTTTGATTTTGTCACAGTAAAGTTTTTTTTTTTTTCTTCAAAAGATGGTAGTAAATTCATCATTTCATAAGACTGAAAAAACAGATGTTCTAGATTATTAATATGCACACATTTTACCCAGATTGGTTTATTTTATATCCTTTTGGTGGCTAGGCAGTCATAACTAGCTTTCTTGCCTCTTTTTGTTTTTAAAAGGTTTAACATTATGTTCTATTTACTAACTAGCAACATGCATATCCTGCTGATGAACTGATGCCTTTGACGTGCCGTGGCCGAATACGTGGGCAAGAGCCAAGCAGGGGAGACGTAGATGACGCATTGGGAAAGTAAGACCCCTAAATATTTTAAAAGTGTTTTTGGTTTTTTTTTTTTTTCCTTCATCATGTCTGGGGTTAAACTTTTAACAGGCAAGAAAGCTTGCTGTTCCAGTTTAATGGCTTACATTTTAATGCAATCCAGTCTGCTTCCCATAGCCTTAACCTTGAGGAAACCAGAAATATCAGACAACCTAATACACAGTCGGGATACTTCTATGTGAACTATTTACCTACCAAGAGATTCTGCTCAATTGACTTTTGAACTAGGACTTCTGCTAGACAGCAAAGCCAGGTCCACCACCTCACTTTTCCCCATTCAGTTTAAAAACTAGAGCTTGGTCAATGTGTTGCCCCCAGTCTGTTGATTGGACAAGGGAGGATTAGGCGACTCTTGGCCGTAAGCTCAGACTGTGAGATTGGCAGCACTGTGCTATATACTTGAGGCTGACTAGCTAACACTGCTGGTCTACTCACTTTTACATTAAATATATGAAGAAAAAAAAAAAAAAAGATTCCACATCTAGCTGCATTTAAAGCCCAATCCATGTTCTAAATTCCATGCATTTTTAACTACCTAACCCCTATGAAAAACAAACAGAGCTTTACCTTCTTTCCAATGCTCTCACCACAGAAGGTCCATTGAACTGAATAGCTTGCGCCTCACTTTTAGGTTAAATGATGTCCAGCATCCTTCCATCTCTAGTATTTGGTGTGCAAGCAGTCATGCCTCCAATCATGCCATCAGTCTATCCGCTCTGACTATGTCACAGTTAAAGAATTTGGCATGTTTAATAAATGTTCAAGTTGGGCTTTAAAAATCTACTTTTTTTGTGAATGTGGTACAATTAGACTTGGCTGTCTCTCCTCACCTAACTGCAAAAACTTGCCTCCCATCAACGAGCACGTTCGCTTGCGCCCACACCTTTGCCCAGTCTTCTGGGTATGGCATCTCTAACATCTTGATGGACTTAGCCAGGATGACATATTCCTCTGGCATTAGCCAGTTAAATCATCCTGGAATTTAGGTATGCTGAGAATGAATGTGCAGCTCAGTGTGCAGTCTTTGAAAAAAACAAACAAAAAAACTTTAGATCAGGAAAATAAAAAAACTTTTATTGCAGATAAGACTTTTAATTTATGTTGTGTAATTGAAAGCCTTCCTGCTTTTAATTTTTGTTTTTTAAAAGTAACGTTTTGCTTAGAATTCCATGTTTACTATGACTTTAGGTTTGTTGGGCCAAGCTGACCTACACAAACTATTTTCATTACTAACTGATATGGCTGCTGTGTCCACTGTATTTTATACTGCAGTAGCATCAGCTACAATGCAGTATGTGGCGCTTTGTTCCACAACAGTATGAGCTATTCCCTATCTGCTGCCAAAATCAAAGGGTTATTTCACCTTACAAAGAAAACTGCCTATGCAGGTAAGGTGTGCCTGTAGAGAACAAACTTTGCAGCTTTGAGTAAAGTTGAATAATGCCCTTGCTATAGCTGTAGGCCATTTACATACCTCAGAAAGCCTGACTGGAATACTCCCAAGATGCTGCTAAGTGAGGCTTAGTCATTATTGCTCACCTCCTCCATCACAAGAGTGAGCATTTTCTCTGATTCAAATCTCCTAACATGCTCTCCTTGGAGGTCCTTCCGTTCAACTTGAAACCTACTTCTTTAAATTGATTCTTAAGGATCCTCCTCCTTCCATGTACTCTGTCATTGATACCAGCATGGGCCAAGCCCCTCCCAGTAATTTTATCAACCTGGTCCACCACATGCCAAACCCTGGCACCAGGGAGACCGCAAACCATTCGGCTGAGGTGATCCTGGTGACAAATTACTTTATCACTCCTTCTGAATATAGAATCCCCAATTACCACCAAATATCTAGGCCTTCGTACATTACCCACACCACCCCTACTGGATGAGCTGTTCTCCTGTCAGTTAGGAGTAGAAGTGATATCTGACTTTGTCACCCCTACATCTTCACCCAACTTGGCAGATTTGTTTGGGTGCTCAGACACTGGACTGGCCTTCCTTTTTGGTGAGTCTCTACCACTCCCTCTAACTACATTAATCCATCTTCCTACCTCATCGTCTTGATTTACCCCTGTGTTCTATAAAGTAGTGTAATTGTATTATATATAGTAAACAGGTGTGATATGTGAAAAGACTAAATCCAATTTAAAGGGCTTGTACTTGCAGTTTGGTGGTAAAACTGGGCAGTAGAGCCGCATTTTTTACCATCCTTCTTTAAGCAACACAGACTGCCAGATGGGTGTGTACATGTGTAAAAAACATTCCCTCTGTCACAATTAATGAGCAATACTGAGCTGCAATGTTATGCTGCCTACTCACTGCTTGTTTTAACCCTGTAAATGCCATAATACCTCCTCACCGCTTGTCCTCCTGAAAAGTGATCCGCCAGGAAAGGCTTTTCACTGGTGTGACAATGACAGCTGCAAGTCTAAACATAGCCTTTGATTTTTGATTATTTTTGATACATCAAAAAAATACATGACAGTGTTTTTAGATGTATCTTTACCTGTATTTTATCTTACAAAACCATAAACTGTGTTTTCGTGATTTTTTTTTTTTAAACCTCCATTCATACTTGGTTTCTTTTATTTTGAGCGATTGTATACATAAGTTTTTTGAGCATTTTCCAGATTCAGTGTTTTTTCGTTTCAGTCAATGGAAAGATAATTACTAGAAAGAGAAGAAGCAAGAAATTGCATGAGGAATGTACATTATGCACTTTCAGGCACTCATATTGAAGTTCACAGAGGTGAAAAACACATGGCTCGGCCCCAAAGTTGCTCATGTATAGGTCATGCCCTTGTATGTTTTTATATTACCCTTATAAATGGCTTCTTTATTCTTTCATTTTGCAGATTTTCTCTCACTTTAATTGATACTTTGGATACTCTAGTGGTAAGTTTACAATGTGTCTGTGACTTGGTCTGTTTTCAGCTATACAGAATACATCTTGTGTTGTGTGTTTGGTTTTTTTTTTTTTTTTAAACTCCGAGCTAATGACCATACGTTAAAAAAAAAAAAAAAAAAGTATAAACAATCTGCGCAGTTAATAATAAAAGTTCATTAACGCATGAAGAATAAAATAAGACTAGAAAAAAAAAAGTGATTGCTGCTGACACATCAGTGCTTTTCACCACACTTCAACAAAATGTATAAAGTCCTTTACGATGCAATGCAATCCCATCAAATAATGTGACAGTCCTTAAATCAAAACAATATAATGGTCTTTCAGTTCCAGTAAAGCTGTATTTCCTCCACCACCATGGTATGATTTAGGTATTCCTTCCTCTTTTCTCAAGCTCTGTGACACATGCGAACACCCAGTGATAATATGCGCTCACCTTGTACAATAGACCTCAATACAGATCAAGGTCATGACACTTTTTGCCCCACCTTGGGCATATGTGGCATCAGTTATTCCTCTCATTCCTTCCTCCTCAATATTCATCACCAAGGAAAAATCACATGCAAAAATAGAATGGGACCACAATGGTGCTCTCTGATTAGTGTCAATTTATTTAAAGCTCCTAAAATCAATACATCATGGTGGATGTTATACATAGTGACCATATGTGCATATCAGAATTTCTTAGCACCATCATTTTATTTTTAGGTGCTAAACAAAACCCAGGAATTTGAAGATGCTGTCCGAAAAGTAATTAATGACGTTAACTTGGATAATGATATTGTGGTTTCTGTATTTGAGACAAACATTCGAGTTTTGGGGTAAGTGTATATTTCCAAGTTTTCTACAGCAATATTTCAGTAATTTTTGTTAAAGTCAACTCCAGGGATCTTTAAAATGACCCCCTGCAGTGGGGCTGTGCTATGCCATGAGACTTAATTACACGTTTGGGTCTAGGAGACACAGAAAAGAAGATATTCTTTCTTAATAGTTTGTCCACGCTGCTTGACCGTCCCCCATGCTAGAGGTGTCTAAAGTCCTAACATCATCAAGACCAATTCAGGCCCCATAGCCCTGCATTGGATGTGATGACACAGAGGAGTTGATTTACTAAAGCTGAAGAGTGCAAATTCTGGTGCAGCTGTGCATGGCAGCCAATCAGCTTATAACTTCAGCTTGTTTAATTAAGCTTTGACAAAAAGACCTGGAAGGTGATTGTTTTTTGTGCAGAGCTGTACCAGATTTTGCACTTGAGATGTTTAGTAAATCGTCTCTAGAGAACTGTCTACCACCTGCTGGAGGAGCGGAAATTCAGGTAAACACTCTTCTCCTTGTCCCTAAACCCCCTCCCCCCCCCCCAAAAAAAAAAATGAACCGTTAAAGTGTTACTTAATCTATGACCCTGTATTCACTATATCTGATCTTCCACAGTACACACAACATGGAAATGCAATTATTTTAGTAAATATAATAAAACGCCTACATCCCTTTTTTTTTTTTTTTATAAGCAGTACATATCAGTTTTATGACTTCTATCAGTGTCTGGGTGAGCACTGGTTAAACTTGTTGAAGGAATTTTTATTCTCCTCTGACTGTTCTGGGAGGCTGCATGACCCCTGACCCTCTGTCTGGACAATACTGATTGGCCCTGTGATGATCGCATGTATGCGCAAAAAAAAAAAAACACACTTTAGCAATACACATCAAACTGAGCATGTGCAGAGTGTCTCCTAGGGCTCTGTAGTATCAGCAGATGGATTGGGGACAGTGAAAGAAGGGGAGGATCAGAGAACACAGAATCAAACTTCCTTTTTACACAATGTGAAGGATTAACCCCTTAGGTCCCACAGTGAGTATAACAAGCATGCTTTACTGCATATACAGACTGATTTTACTGTTATGGGTTTAGTGATACTTTAACCCTTGCAGTGTGAGGGTTTCTAGAGTTGGGCTTTAAACTTCTTTTTTAGAAGGAAACTGAAATTTCAGTATTTGGTTGCTGAAGCATTAAATCACCAGATTGTTTGTTTTATATTATGGTGAATTCAGCAAGGGTGGTAACAACCCCCAAGCTACTGTGGAACTGTGGCTGCAATTTTTGGTTCTGAAATTTTAGAAATGGTATAGAAGAGAATTAGTGATCTGCAGTCAGGTGCATAAATATTGGGACATCGACACAATTCTAACATTTTTGGCTCTATACACCACCACAATGGATTTGAAATGAAACGAACAAGATGTGCTTTAACTGCAGACTGTCAGCTTTAATTTGAGGGTATTTACATCCAAATCAGGTGAACAGTGTAGGAATTACAACAGTTTGGATATGTGCCTCCCACTTGTTAAGGGACCAAAGGTAATGGGACAATTGGCTTCTCAGCTGTTCCATGGCCAGGTGTGTGTTATTCCCTCATTATCCCAATTACAATGAGCAGATAAAAGGTCCAGAGTTCATTTCAAGTGTGCTATTTGCATTTGGAAACTGTTGCTGTCAACACTCAAGATGAGATCCAAAGAGCTGTCACTATCAGTGAAGCAAGCCATCATTAGGCTGAAAAAACAAAACAAACCCATCAGAGAGATAGCAAAAACATTAGGCGTGGCCAAAAGAACTGTTTGGAACATTCTTAAAAAGAAGGAACGCACCGGTGAGCTCAGCAACACCAAAAAACTCCGGAAGACCACGGAAAACAACTGTGGCTGATGACCGAAGAATTCTTTCCCTGGTGAAGAAAACACCCTTCACAACAGTTGGCCAGATCAAGAACACTCTCCAGGAGGTAGGTGTATGTGTGTCAAAGTCAACAATCAAGAGAAGACTTCACCAGAGTGAATACAGAGGGTTCACCACAAGATGTAAACCATTGGTGAGCCTCAAAAACAGGAAGGCCAGATTAGAGTTTGCCAAACGACATGTAAAAAAGCCTTCACAGTTCTGGAACAACATCCTATGGACAGATGAGACCAAGATCAACTTGTACCAGAGTGATGGGAAGAGAAGAGTATGGAGAAGGAAAGGAACTGCTCATGATCCTAAGCATACCACCTCATCAGTGAAGCATGGTGGTGGTAGTGTCATGGCGTGGGCATGTATGGCTGCCAATGGAACTGGTTCTCTTGTATTTATTGATGATGTGACTGCTGACAAAAGCAGCAGGATGAATTCTGAAGTGTTTCGGGCAATATTATCTGCTCATATTCAGCCAAATGCTCCAGAACTCATTGGACGCCGCTTCACAGTGCAGATGGACAATGACCCAAAGCATACTGCAAAAGCAACCAAAGAGTTTAAGGGAAAGAAGTGGAATGTTATGCAATGGCCAAGTCAATCACCTGACCTGAATCCGATTGAGCATGCATTTCACTTGCTGAAGACAAAACTGAAGGGAAAATGCCCCAAGAACAAGCAGGAGCTGAAGACAGTTGCAGTAGAGGCCCTTAAGTGGGAGGCACATATGCAAACTGTTGTAATTCCTATACCGGTCACCTGATTTGGATGTCAATACCCTCAAATTAAAGCAGACAGTCTGCAGTTAAAGCACATCTTGTTCGTTTCATTTCAAATCCATTGTGGTGGTGTATAGAGCCAAAAATGTTAGAATTGTGCTGATGTCCCAATATTTATGGACCTGACTGTATAATTAAAATATTATTTTGGCTTATATGGGCCTTTGAAATGATTACTGTAAATTTAACAGCATGCACATACAGTAGGATAATAGAGATACACGTTATTTTCAACCACTGAGGCTCCATGCACACTTAGCATTTCTGGAGTGCGTGACAAAGTGCACAGAAAACGCTCGTTTTGCCATGTCTTTCGGAAACGTGCTGCAAACTCTCATTGCTCTTGTGATCCTGTTAATGGCACCCCAAGTGCGGTTAGCAGGAATGTGCTTTACTGTGCACTTTGTGTACTGGCAATTGTGTCAAAACGCATAGTGACAAAACGCTGCCTGCACGTAAAGGTTTTCGAGCTTCTTTGCAGCTATAACAGCTTCAGCTCTTCTGTGAAGGCTGTCCACAAGGTTTAGGAGTGTGTCTATGGGAATGTTTTTGACCATTCTTCCAGATGCACATTTGTGAGGTCAGGCACAGATGTCGGACAAGAAGGCCTGACTCCCAGTCTCTGCACTAATTCATCCCAAAGGTGTTTTATCGGGTTGAGGTCAGGACTCTGTGCAGGTCAGTCAAGTTCCTCCACCCCAAACTCGCTCATCCATGTCTTTATGGACCTTGCTTTGTGCACTGGTGCGCAGTCATGTTGGAATAGGAAGGGGCCATCCCCAAACTGTTCCCACAAAGTTGGGAGCATTAAATTGTCTAAAATGTCTTGGTATACTGACTCCTTAAGAGCTCCCTTCACTGGAACTAAGGGGCCAAGCCCAACCCCTGAAAAACAACCCCACACCATAATCCCTCCTCCACCAAACTTTACACTTGGCACAATGCAGTCAGGCAAGTACCGTTTTCCCAGATACGTCCATCAGATTTCCAGACAGAGAAGTGTGATTCGTCACTCCAAAGAACTCCTCTCCACTGCTCTAGAGTCCATTGGCGGCATGCTTTACAATACTGCATCCAACGCTGTGCATTGCACTTGGTGAAATAAGGCTGGATGCAGCTGCTTGGCCATGGAAACCCATTCCATGATGCTCTCTATGCACGTGGTTGTGCTAATCTGAAGGCCACACGAAGTTTGGAGGTATTTAGCTATTGACTCTGCAGACAGTTGGGGACTTCTGTGCATTTCAGTATGCACTAACCCCAGTCTGTCATTTTATGGGGCATACCACTTCGTGGCTTAGTTGCTGTGGTTCCCAGTTGCTTCCACTTGGTCATAATACCTCTAACAGTTGACCGTGGGATATTTAGTAGCAAGGAAATTTCATGGATGGACTTATTGCACGGGTGGCAACCTATCATAGTACTGTGTGTGTGTATGTGTGTATGTGTGTGCATATGTGTGTGTATATGTATGTATATATATATATATATATATATATATATATATACGCACACACACACACACCTGTGCAAAGGTCTTGGGGCGATTATTTCACTCTCTAAATGTGCAAAGCTGGTAGAGACGTCCCCAAAAAGACTTCCAGCTGTAATCCAGCGAAAGGTGGTTCTACAAACTATTGGCTCAGGGGGGCTGAATACAAATGTAGACCACAGTTTTCAGATATTTATTTGTAAAACATTTTGAAAATCATTTTATCATTTTCCTTCCACTTCACAATTATGTGCCACTTTGTGTTGGTCTATCACATAAAATTCCAATTAAATACATTTACATTTTTGGTTGCAACATGACAAAATGTGTAAAATTTCAAGGGGTATGAATACATTTTCAAGACACTGTACAGTATACCCTTCATTCTTCAGTGAAGTGTAGCTAACAGAAGAAGAAAAATAAATGGTAAATGGCCAACTTGGGTCTCAACAACAAACCAGAGCCAAATTGAGCCTTGGGTAAAAAAAAAATCATTGTATGCAGAAGAGGGATGGTGGTGCATATAATATTTGACAACAATTAACAGAACAGTGCAGCCTTCTTAAAACAAAAAATATCTGCATGTTTCACCCATTACCTCAAAAATAGGAGGTTTATTATTTTAGGAGAGTGCAGAGGGTCATGCAAATCAGTAAAGGAAAGGTAGGTTCCTTTTGACCGCACCTTACTATAACCTGTCTGATTATACTTTGTCACAACTGACCATGTGTGTTTGTGATGTCCTTTAGGGTCAGTTCATACTACATGCTTTTTCATTGTGCTTATTTCTGCATCTAAAAACACACAAAAAGTAGGTTATATGATTGTCAATGTCATAGTTCACATCAGTGCTTGCAGTTCCAGTGCGTTCCGGATGCAGAAAAAGAAGTAGAACAGGCTGCATTTTTCCTGCGCAGAACTGTACTGGAATGCGGTAAAACGCACTTGAATGCACCAAAAACGCAGTGGAATGCAAATGTCCCTATTTAAATTGAAGAAAAAGAGAGGGGAAAAAATGAACTGGAACTCATCAAAAACGTACTGAAACATGTCAAAAACGCACATGCAGAAACGCATCCAGAACGCATCTGGACTGCGTTTCTATAGTGTGAGCCGGCCCTTAATGTTTTAAGAGTGTTTGAAAGAAACATAGACATTTTTCAAGTGGGTGAACAGTGTTTATTCCTACATTTCAGTGGTCTCCTTGGTGGACACTCTGTTGCTCTGATGCTGAAAGAAAAAGAAGAACAAATGACTTGGTATAATGATGAACTCCTGCATATGGCTAAAGAGCTTGGCTACAAACTCCTTCCAGCTTTCAACACTACAAGCGGTCTTCCTTATCCAAGAGTATGTCTAAGTATTCAGAAAACTTTTATCGCCGATTGATCTGCAATGATTAGAATAAGTCCACATATTTTAATTTAACACAGTGAGGTGTAAACAATGGTATTTTAATACATAGCATATTTTAGTATGCATGTTTCAGCTGAAACTCACTGATTTGTTTTCTTTTTAATGTGGTAATTTGACAATATTTGCGCATTGCTTAAATAACAGTAACTTTGATCAAAATGACATTTCCTTTTATTAACTGTTAAAAAAATGTATTCTTTCACTATAGCATTATTTAGCAGGCAATCTGTGCAATGCAAAGTATATTTAGCATGTATTTTTTATGTATTTTTTATGTATTTTATTACAGGTATTTATAATGCACCAACCATTTATTCAGTGCTTTATGTTCACATCAGTCCCTGCTCTCAAGGGCCATACATTCTAAGGTCCTTGTCTCGCATACATGCACACACATACTGAGCCAAATTATACAGTAATAAATGTTTTATTTTTTCTTTCTTTTAATCATCACTATGTTCTAATCTGAAATAAAAAACGTACGCTCTTTTGTTTAATTACCATAGGCCAGTATTGTGTGTATTGCATATGTATATACATTTTTTTTATGAAACAGTATTGACTTTTAAAAAGTTTTACAGTAAAACTAGAACTTACTTTTTTTTTAAACATTTTTGTCCATGTGTCTTCTTTTACTAATAAGACACAAGTAGGGTCTTGTAAATCATTTTTCCAAATAAAATCTTTGTATCCTGAAAAAAGCATATGAAAATTTGGAGACCAGTTTTGTGAGCAAAGCTGTTTAAATATTTAAGTAAATTGACACATTCAAAACCTGCACAATTTGGTATGGTCATAAAGTGTGGACTTTCCTCCAGTCATGTAGGTATTAGAATTTACTTATTTCCTGATATAAAATGTGGTCCCATTTCTGCAAGGTGAATTTGAAGTTTGGAGTTAGAAGACCAGAGGCACGGACAGGCACAGAAACTGACACATGTACTGCATGCGCAGGAACCCTCATCCTTGAATTTGCTGCACTCAGTCGCTTTACTGGAATACCAGTGTTTGAGGTATGTCTTTCAGACATTTCCTATTATTTTCTGTTTGGATTGTCTTATTTGTGTCTCAAAGAAATGGATCTGTTTTTATTTTTCTGCCACTAGTAAAGCTAGCTTTACATACCTATGAAAGAATATCTGCCGACTCTAGGTTAAGCAGCCAGTGGTTAAGCATTGCCTGCTTCTGATTGGATGCAGTCATTATCGGGCAACAATTTCCCACCTGGCCATCCGCAGCTTTAACTTTGGCTGATTCAGCAGGAATTGGTTGAAATTTGAGCAGTGCCCCCCCCCCCCCCCCCTCTTCTTTTTTTTTTTTTTTTCCCCCAGTTACGTAATTGAAGAAAGACTAAAGCTGGCCATATATAGTATGGATTTAAATTCATCTCGTTCAACCGCTGGCTTGAAGGGGAAATAAACTGGCCCATGTATGGCCAGCTTTAAGAGCGTACAGCTGTCTGATAATGGGCACCACAGTGTCAAGCCAGATAGTCCCTTTCAGAAATGGGAGGACATATAATTTAAGAATGCTAATGCTGAAGAAAACATATAATAGAAATGGTTGTGGTAAGCTCCATATTGTTATATCTGTTCAGTGCCAGCTTTGTGCCACAATGCAAGAATCATTTTTGTTTTGTAGGATATGGGGGGGGCAATGCATCAATACTTCTTTCAACTGCTTATGTGTACTCTTAAATGGAAACTTACTTTTTAAAAATGTATTTTAAATAAGCATGTTAAAGGATACATTCACCTTAAAAAAAAAAAAAACAGAATAAATGCACGTTTTTGCAGTTTATACTATTATTATAATAGTTTTTTGCTATTTTTTTCTAAGGAGCATTGTACACATAATCAGCAGATTGAGGGTGCAATCTCAGGCTCCTGCAGACTCTCAGGATACCTGTCTGTACCTCGTATGGGCAGGCAGTTGCCTGGGAACAGGCAGTTTAAAGGGCTATAACAGCACTCACCTGCACCCTCCCAGTTCAGTGAGAACTACAAGCAGTCAGCTGCAATGGATCACTTTACTTGTAGGCATTCATTCACAGGAAAGTGAATGAATGATGTGGCTGTGTGGGCGGAGCCCCACATGCCTGCATTATTTTAAATTGTGACAGTGGGTGAGGTGAGAAGATCCCCTGCCTTCTGTAACAAGGGGAGAGGAGATGCTGCAGATGCTGGGACATGTTACATGTTCCACCCTAAAAATGTGTAGCACATGTAACATGTTCTATAGGTGAACTTATCCTTTTGAAGTGACCAGATTAACATAAATAATCCTTGCTATCTCTATTGTAAAAAAAAAAACTTTTTTTTCTGCTAGTGACAGACTGCATCATATGTATTATTTTCATTATGCTCCTGGTTCCGCAAGGTAAGTGTTTCAATAAATTTGAAATGTGGAATCACTCTAAGTAGCCTATAGTAAACACCTGTTGAAATGTCTAATAGGCCCCTTGCACATGGGTGATGAGGTTTACTCAGAAACTTACTGACAAAGTCCCTGAGTAGAAAAAAAAAACTGTGCTTAAGAATCTTGAGTATAGGTGCATGTAAAGGAGCCTAAGTTTATAGACTAGTAAAATTCTTCCTCATTGGCAGTGTAATACATTCATTTATAGTCGCAGAAATGTGTGTGCTCATAAATTGCTGCATTCAAATGTAAAATTTTTCTATTTTTGTTTTATGGCTCTTTACTCAATGTTGCGCTTTTACTCCCATGTGCAAGAGGCCTTATGAGAAACAGAAGAGATGAGCTCAAATTCTTCTTCAGTGGTGTAGTGAAAGGGAAAGGTTCCACTCCTTTTTCTATGGCAGATGGGTTGTGCTAACTTTGGGTAAAGATAAATGTAAGCCAGAATTATTTGAATTTGTCAAGATTGTTTGTTTATTTTATGAAGAATTGTAGAATGATTTGCTTACATTCAGTTTATTTTTCCTGAACAGGAACATGCGCGAAAGGCACTAGATTTTCTTTGGGAAAAGAGGCAACGTAGTAGCAATTTAGTTGGTGTAACAATAAATATTCATACAGGAGACTGGGTACGCAAAGGTAAGTAAAATTATCAATTTAGCACCTAACGTTTTATCAGTGTTGCTTTTGCATGGAAAAACACTGTGAAAAGATAATCAAAATAAAATTGTATAATTTGAGAACACTTTTTTTTTTTTTTTTAATGACCATTGCATACCAGACACTGATGTAGAAAAAGGTGTGTTGTGCTAGCAGGAAAATTTCCTGATTACTTTAGCAACAAGTCTTGATCTTTGTTTCATATTTTTAAAACCTTGGATGCAGGAATATTTTCTATAGACAACAAAAGATTTCCCACAGCACAGATTTTTCATCTGTTATACACATAATGAGCCAGTTCCAAGCTAATAAAAGAAGTATGGCCAAAACTTTATTTGCCATACTACTTTTCTGGGTCACAAGAGTACACCTACGTTTGCTCTAATGGGGCACAGAATTGGCTCAAAGCGTATTAATCCCACTGTCTGCTGGCATCACAGAGTCATTCCAGGCTCTGGGAATATCCCCACTGTATTATCAGATTTCTCCGAGCTGCCTGATTGACAGCTGGCTCTGGCTGAGAGCCGAAATTAGCTGTGTCCACCCCCTCCAGCATGACATTTCAGGGAGCATGGGAGGGGCATAGCAGAGAGCAGTGACTGGCTGTCACTACTCTCTGCTCAGAGAAGCCCAAGAACAGAGTGATAAGCAGTCATGTGTTCTCAGGCTTAGAGCCGATGGGGGACAGCTACAGTATCAGAGCGATGTGGCGTCATAGAGGTGAGTATAGATGTTTTTTTTTTGTTTAATACCCCAAACATTTCCTTTTAAGAAATTTTAGCTTTTTCCCCACAATACATTTTTCTATACAGTGATCCTTTATAGTGTGCACTTGTCATATTTAAAGAGCTTTTAGCAATAAGATTGTAAAGGCCATTTTTTGTTTTGTTTTTATGCAAAATACATTTTTATGCTTTACGATCATTAGGAATTCAAACTTGTCTTCAAAATACTCATACTTGCTAACATACAGGTTTATAAATATGAAATAATAGCATGTTTTATTTAACCCAAATGTTAAGTATTGTATTGGTACATAAAGGCCCTCTAGTTTGTCTTCAAGAAAACTGTTGGTTTCAGATTAAGCAAAAGTTCTTCCTTAACAGTAAAAATAGTAAACGAGCGCTGGGTAAAATAGAAAAGAGAAGGAAAGCTGCTTGCATAAAAGGTAAAACCTCTGAAACCTTCTCATAAAATCTTAATATATAAATATATGCAGCGCTAAAACCAATAATGATCAATAAATATAAATCAGCTGATAACTATTATAAGCAATAAAAAGTATAAAAGTGCGCTCCAAGGCGCTAAAAACAGTGATGTGAAACAACGTCCTAACTTGACGTTATAAAGTGACATAAATAATTTCCAAAGTCAAATCGCACTAATTTCCAAAGTCAAATAGCAATATGAAAGTGAGATTCCGTGACTGCAGTGGCTGAAAAAATAAGTGTAGATTGTACTAACCAGAAAGCACAATCTAATGCGCATTTGAGTAAATCAAAACCAACTCTTGGTCACCTGGATCTGGGAACATGGCACACAGGGGGTCATCTGGCAAGCGTCAGCAAGGGAGGTAACACACTGTAGGGATATCCAGGCTCCAGAGATACAATCATCAACCAGCAGGGGGAACCATTCACACAGGTATATGCCAAGTCACAGGAATTCACCTTAGAGGGGGGCTGGTAATAAACAAGCCAGAGAGAAGAATCTCCAATAGTGTAGTACTTTATTGTAAATCAAGTAAAGCATAACAGGAGATTATTACACTCACATATGGAAATGACAGGAAAACCAAGATGTCCGCCGGCTGTCCAAGTGGGCCGTGCGGAATGACGTCACTGGGTAGGGCACCTCCCGTAGGGAGTATTAGATTGCGCTTTTTGGTTAGTGCAATTTACACTTATTTTTTCAGTCACTGCAGTCACGGAATCTCACCATTATATTGTTATTTGACTTTGGAAATTAGTGCTGTTTGACTTTGGAAATTATTTATGTCACTTTATGCACTTTATAACGTCAAGTTAGGACGTTGTTTCACATCACTGTTTTTAGCGCCTTGGGGCGCACTGTTATACTTTTTATTGCTTATGATAATAGTTATCAGCTGATTTATATTTATTGATCATTATTGGTTTTTTAGCGCTGCATATATTTATATATTAAAAAAAGTTCTTCCTTGATGGTCACATGTTTATGGCCTGTTGTCTATGCCATATTTTCTTGTATTTGTTTAAAATAAAAAATGTATTTTCTCTTTTAAGACAGCGGTGTGGGGTGCAGGAATAGATTCTTACTATGAATATTTACTGAAGGCCTACGTACTGCTGGGTGATGACAGCTATTTGGAAAGATTTAATACAGTAGGTGGAAGACCAATTTTAATGCTTCATTGTGTAACATGGCAACCTAGCAAAAAGCATATCTGATAATGTTTTATTTGTTTGTTTCTTAAAATTGTAATCAAGTAATTTTAGCCTAATGTATGAAAGTCCTAGGGCTTCAACCTGGATTTCAAAATATCAGGCTTTTGCAGTCACTGGCATCTTAACATCCTCCCACTGGCTGTGCACATATGGCTTTAATGCCAAGCAGGCGCATATATATGCGTCCATAGTAAATGGTTTACTGTGATCAGAGTATGTTCACTGTGTGCTCCCAGCACAGTAACTAAAGTGTCACAGAGAACTACCAATGCATACTTGCAATCAGGAGCTTCCAATCATGTGAACGCTGTGACCGCCAATCGCAGCAGTCACGATTGGAATACCCACCTCCTCCTTTTGGTATTTAGATCCTCCTAAAGGGTGGAAGGCGGCAGCGTGAAGGGGTTAATGAAGTGTTGTAAACTGCAAATATAGCTAGACTCCTTAGTTCATATTAAATACTGGGCCACATCACATAAACTTTCCAATGTTGTACCGACACACAGCCCCAAACTCTTCCCTAGTCTGAGTTATGTAGGCTGCCTTTTGTGACCCCTCCTCCTTGAGTAGGTTCTTTCCTGTCTGTATTGCTAATGTTTTGGCTTGATTGTTTGGGTTTTTTTTTTTTTTTTAACATTTTTATTATTGATTTTTTAATTAATTTAAGTTACTGATCTAGAGCAAGTAGTCCGGTAAGGAATTCTGCCATGTTCCTGGCACTTATACGGAATACTTGATCTGGGTCTGTTACTCAAAATTATTGAGCGCAGACACAGCCAGGAACCTACCAGCTTTTTTTTTTAGAATGAGATGAGGTAATGCAGTCCATGTACATATCTCTGGGCATATGTACTCTAAGGGGAATGTTTAGCTATTTTCCAACTATATTCGTATCTTCTGGGCTAATCAAAAACATTTTACCTATTTAAAAAAAAAATATATATATATTTTTTTTTTTTTTTTTTTTTAGAAGCACATATGAAATACTATACAGTATATGAATATTTTCATTTCAAGTTGGAAGGTGGAGCTTTGTTATCCTTTTCACCCTATGTGTTGAGCAATTGTTTACATACACTCCTTACAGCATTTGTGTGTGGGTGTGTGAGTGGAAGTGACAAGAGTGCCTTAAATTTTTTTTTTTTATCAGATTTTACATTTTTAAGCACCTTTTTTCCAGCTGACTTTTTGTTGCTATCAACTAGAGCCACCTATGTGATAGCATTGGGCGGGAGAGATAGGTAGCCTTTTTGGACTATTGGCTCCCTAATGTCCTTGCCCTCTGCTTCAGTGCATCTGCTGTCTACCGGACTCCTTGCTTTTCAGGAATTTGATAGGGGTTTGACCAGGATTTTAACAGGCTCTGTAAAAACAGCCTTTTGCTCGTAATAGAGCAGTTTGTACAGCAAGCATCTAAAAATTGTTTTTAGCCTGCTTCAAACAAATGGAAGCTCCTTTAAAGCCCCATTTAGCTTTAGTTTGGAGAGGTTACACATAGATCCTAATGGGAGTGCTACCTGTCACTTTGTTTAAGCTGCTAGCAGGTTTCAGTTAGCTCTTGCACCTTGTAAAGCTTGTTGAAAGCCTGCTAGCAGCTTGATTAAATTGAAAGTCAGCACTCCGATTAAGCTCTATGTTTAACACCCCCAGTTTACTGTATATGACCAGGTCAAAGACACTCTTAAATTCCAATGTGCCTCCATATGACATAAGTCAGGTACATTAATCTGGGGCATGCACCATGTGGAGTCAGCAGTGTCCATACAGACAGAGTTGAGCTTCCTCCCTGCAGCCATCACACAGTGCAGTGTTAGGAGTTTTGTATCTGGGGGGAGGAGCCTGATGAGGATTCATTGACACTAGTTCCCCATCAAGTCTGCTCCCCTTGTAATTGGCAGCGGGCAGATCCTTAGCCAATAGACAGCATGCTCAGTGTCTGCTTTCAGTTACAAGTAGAGAGAGAACATGATGGGGAGCCAGTGTCTTGGCTTCTCCGTCAGGCTTCATCCACTTCAGCGAAGTCAAGGGTGTACTGGTGCAAATATGCCTTTTCATGTACAGTGTGTACAGGGACATGCACTCTAGCTGTGTCTGCATTCCATCTTAGTAGGTCTTTTTTACTTCCAGTTTCATTATCTACAAAAAGAGGGTAACTGAATTAGGTGCATTAATAGTGCCACTTTGTAAAAATGACGCTATTAAGAACTACCTGAATCTGTCACACATGTTGGCAAAGTTACCATAATGGGCAGTCGGAATTTTAGAATTTGGTACAGACTATTTTAAAGGGCTCCAGAAAATTGTTGGCGGTGCTTTATTCCCTCGATTGTTCTTTCACATACCAAAGCTAATATGTACAATGCCTTGTATGTTTCACCAACATTCATTATGCAGTCCAAGTAATCTTTTAATCAGCCTTGGTTAGTTGTGGTGGAGGTTGATGATACCTAATGTGTAAAAATAGAAAAATAATGGCTGTGTGTAATTGCTCAACGGTAAGATATTCATCGTTTTGTCTGGTCAGTGTACATCATGTAAATGGGAAGCATTCTGCAGCAACAGACACGTGTTTGCTGTTAAACCGGCCATAATTGGATCAAATCTCAGCCGGTTCAGCAGGAATCGGCAGGCTGGTTGTATTGAAATCGATCCATCAGTCAGCTTCAGTACAACCAGCCTGTCAGATTCTTTGCATGCAATTGCTGCCAGCGGGTATAGCAAGGAGTTCTTAGAAGGCTCTCCGCTGGTAGAACACATTAGCGCTGCAGGAGGGATGGCAGGAAAGAAAATTGCACCATCTATGGCTTGCTTTAGCCAAAAACTGTTTTTGTCAGCATTCGTTTACTGCTGAGGATATCTGTACACTTTCTGTCCTCCACTGAAATATGCATGTTGCCTTTTGATAATCCAGTCATGTAACATAATTTGCTATCTGCTTGAAAACCAATTTTCAGCAGTTTGGTTATGTCTATAATACTAACCACTATCTCATGCCTATGGCTAGCTTTGGATGTCCAGTAAAGTTTTTAAATATTATTTACAGAGTAGTTCATGAATGTGTATATTTTATGATTAAGTGAAATCTGCTGAAAGTCAGTCATTCAGTATGGAAATAATGTTTGTATGAATACGGAATAGAAAATGTTACCTTATATATTACACTCTATTATTGTACTTATTCAGGAAAGGTTGGTTTGGTCCATATATAATTACAAGCATTGTTTTCTTTTAAAGTGTTACTAAACCCGCAACAGTAAACCCAATCTGTATATGCAGTAAAGCATGCTTGTTATACTCAGTGGAGCCTAAGGGGTTAATCCTCTGCGTTGCTTAAAAATGCTGTTTGATCCTGTCTTCTCTGATCCTTCCTTTCTTCCAGTGCTCCCCTCTTATCTCCTGATAAGACATATGGTGTGGTGCACATGTTCAATTTGATGTGTATTGCTAGAGAATAGTGGTGCACTGATATTAAAATTCTGTTACCAAAACCGAAAATTCAGGGCACTTGGCTGAAAACTGAAACTGAAATGGACAGTTTTTAAAAATACACTGTAATAATTAAAAAAAAAAACACAATATATACCCTAATTTTTTTGTAAAATATGAAAGATGATATTACGCCGAGTAAATAGATACCCAACATGTCCCGCTTTTAAAATTACACATACTAGTGGAATGGTGCCAAACTACAGTACTTGAAAATCTCCATGGGTGACACTTTAAAAATTTCTGCATGTTACCAGTTTAATCTTAGAGGAAGTCTAGTGCTAGAATTATTGCTCTTACTCTGACATTTGTGGCTATACGTCACGTGTGTTTGAACACCGTTGACATATGTTGGCGTGCCCTATGCATATGTTCACCACTATGCGTGAGCATGGGTAGACGGGGACACTTTAAACCTTTTTATTTATTTTATTACTTTTGTTTTTTTACACTGTCCATTTAAAAAAAAAAAAAATATTAAATCACTTTTATTCCTATCACAAGGAATGCAAACATCCCTTTTGATAAAAATAAGCAGTGACAGGTCCTCTTTATGGAGAGATATGGGATCAATAAGACCCCACATCTCTCCCCTACAATGTGTAAACCATTAGATGAAAAAAAGCATTGATCTAGTAGTGTAGTGATAGTGATGTAATGACGTCGTTCTGGTCCTCCAAGGGCAGAGATGAGTGGAGGCCATCTTTCCTTCAATATTCTTTATGCTCAACACCGGGATTGTTGAATGGGTTCTCAGGTAAGGCTGAGAACCACCAGGCGGTGGTTACTTTTGGCACTCGTATCGGTGCTTATTTTCATATCGGCCAAAGGCCGATAGGGGTGTTTCAGCCAAAACATTTCTGCCACCAAAATTTCGGTGCATCCCTACTATAAGGTTTTTTTTTTTTGTTTTGTTTTTTTCTTGGGAGAGTGCATGTGATCAGCACAGGGCCAATTAGCACTGTCCAGACAGAAGTCGGGTTCTGCATCCTCCTAGAGAAATCTGCTCCTATAAGCTTTAACCAGTGCTCTGCTGAACAGTGATAGAAGTCACAAGACTGCTGTAACTGCTGATGAGAAAAGGTATTTAGCAGTTTATATTTACTACAATAATTGAATTTCCATGTTCTGTGTACTGTTGGACACCAGATGTAATGAATGCAGGGTCCTTGGTTTATTAACACTTTAATAAAGATTGTAAGCTCCAAGGAGCAGGGCCCTCCTACCCCTCTTGTATTGAACTGCATTGTTGCTGTATTGCCTCCCGTTATATTGTAAAGCGCTGAGCAAACTGTTGGCGCTATATACATCCTGTATAATAATAATGATAAAGATGTATTTGGTGTTCGTGGGCACAGTTAGTTTAACGTAAATTGATTGTGAGTCCTATAGTAGCCAGTTACAGAGATGCTTTCCTTTTTGTGGTGCAGGTTAGATAATGTAAGCAAGCATCTTGGTTCTATTGAGGTCTATTGCCTCTCATCTTTTCTTTTGTAGAATTATTGCTGGTTTTATTTTTAGTTATCTGATCTGCTGGTTTTTATTCAGCTTCTGGCCCATTGAGACAGCATAGCCGTTCCATGTGTTTCTGTATGTATGAGTACCAATATTTAATGGATTAGAAGTAGATCAGAGATATGTTGTTCATAACACTTTCTATCGTTGCTGCTCAATTTTCAGCCATAATATCTAGATGAATGAATCTCAATCTGCTTTTTCATTTTATAGCATTACGATGCCATTATGCGGTATATCAGCCAGCCCCCACTTCTACTTGATGTGCATATTCACAAACCAATGCTTACTGCTCGAACCTGGATGGATTCTCTGCTTGCATTTTTTCCTGGTCTACAGGTATGAAACCACAAATTCTTTACCATGGATTGTGTTTTATAGCAATTGACAATTTAGTGTTATGCTCCCTTGATTGTCTAAAACATATCTTAACCTCGTCCCATTGCGTGGAGGTCGGCATTCCGATCATGTGACCACAGTGATTGGCAGTCACAGCAGCCACTTGCCTGGAAAGCTTCGGATCACAAGTATGCATCGGGAGCTTTCTTGTACCCGCCAGTTACTGTGCAGGGAGCACACTCTCGGCACAGTAAAGTGTTTACATAGGGACAGATATACGGCCGCTCGACTTTAAAACCCACCCACCAAGAGGCCACATATATGTGTATGGCCAGCTGGAAGTGGTTAAAAGAGATGTATGGCAAAATCATTTCTTCTGCATCACAAGAGTACACTTACTTTGCTCTCCTGTGACCCATAGTCTGCTAATAGCAGGCTATTGATTGCTTAGTTCTTGGACTTAGTGCTGAGGGGAGACAACTGCAGCATCACACTGATGATGCAGAATGGATGTGAGTATGTATGTTTGTTTTTTTTTGTCTACCCCAAACATCTCCTTTAACCACTTGACAACCGGGCTATAGCCGAATGACAGCAACAGCACGGTTGTCCAGTTTTGGGAGGGCATCATATGACATCCTCCCAGAACGCTCCCCTGGCGATCTCCATGATCGCTGCGTCCTATGGACACAGCTGATCACGTGATGTGGTAAAAGGCCAATCACCACTTGCTTCCAGGTCTCATGCTGAGTGGCCAGCCTGATGCATTCTGAACATAGGAGTTCAGCCACTCAGCACAGGCACCATTCAGAAAATGCTTTACAAAGCATTCTGTAATTGCACAAAGTAAAGCAGCAGGGCTGTGATGTTGTTTTTAGGGATGTGCTGATACCCTTTTTTTATCGGCGAGTACAAATACCGATACTTTCGGTCAAGTGCTCGCTGATACTGAGTACCGATACTTTGCAGTGCAATTTGTGTCACTACAAAATGTATTGAGGCAAATTGCACCGCAAAGAATAGCATGCGATTTAAACAGGAATGTGATTCCTGTCCAAATCGCATGTAGTTTCCCTACTGGTCCTGTATGAACCCAGGCTGTCAAAGCCTGAGTTCACACAGGAGTGGTGCAAGGAGGTTTCCTGCAGCGGACAGTGGGCATATGGGGATGTATACTATGGTGGCAGATGATCCATATTCTCAGCGGTGGGAGAGGAGAGAGAGCGCTGGGAATTTGAAACCCCCACCTCTTTCTCTCATCTCCTTGCAGGAATTACAGTTTGGGCTAAAGGGGTTTTGATTGGTCAGTACCATCACATGGACAGTGCTGACCAATTAAATGCATTCTAGCCTGTACTGTCAATTCTGCAAGGAGAGGAGAGAAAGCCGCTTCACAGGTCTATAGATTTGAAATCCACACGGCTTTCTCTGATTGGTCAGCACTACCCATGTGAAGGTACTCACCAATCAAAAGCCCTCTTGCCCTAACTGTCATCCCTGCATGGAGAGGAGAGAATCCCTGCCTCTTTCTCTCCTCTCCTACCTCTGAGAATATGGAGCATCTGCCTCCATAGTATACATCGGTACACGGCCACTCTCTGCTCAGCATGGGATGTCTGCAGCGAGGTTTCCCACACTGCTTCTGTGTGATCTCAGGCTATGACAATCCCTGTTATTCTGCCTGTGATTTCAAAACGCACTGCTAAAATGACAAATCACGGAACATGCGGTTCTGCAATTTATCATTTTAGCAGAACGTTTTGAATTCATGGGAAGAATCACGGCGATTCTGCCTGTGATTCAAAAGACCCATGTGTGAATGCAGCCTTAGTGAAGCTGATCTTTTTTATGTTCCTTTTTTCTGACTGTTTTTTATATAATTTTTTTTTTTTGTTTTAATACCATTTCACCATTTAATGGATTGTTAACCATTTAACAGTATGCATAAATTGTCTTTTATTCTAGAGCTTGGTGATTTGTTTTGAAAATGACTGTCTGTGAACAACATGTGATTTGCTTTTAATTTAGCGGCTGGTTTAGCAAATTTGCATTCATGAATTTATATTCTTTGTTAGGTTTTGAAAGGAGATATAAGACCTGCTATAGAAACTCATGAAATGTTATATCAAGTCATCAAAAAACACAATTTTCTACCAGAGGTAAGGAATTTTTGTGCATGTCTATACATATTTTGTGTTTAATAAAGTGAACAGGTGTTACTATTTCCCTTTCCTCTGCTTAAAAAGTAAATGGCAAATCTCGAAGACTGCATGAACTTCCTGAAATGTAACAATGTACAGCTACATTATTAGTAACTTTTCATGTGGAAAAAAAAAATCAACTGGGATTGTGCAGTCTGGGAGAATGGTGACATTTTCTTGGATTTCTCTTCCCCATGAATCACTCTGTAACAAGTGACAAGGTTAGGGCAGGGGTAGGCAACCCCTGGTACTAGTGCCGGAGGCGGCACCTGACAGCATCAAGTACTGCACCCAAGGCGAGTCCTGGGAGACCCACCTCCCAAACAATAAAGCTAGATAGCGGCTGCATACAGAAGAAACGGCACTGCTGGTGCTTGCCCAAATTTACGCACGCTGGCGTCGGTCCCTGCATTGTCCCTCCACACTGAAGCATCAACTCAAATTCCCCAGGATCCTTTTTCTCACTTTGAAGGGGTAAGTATATTCAGTAGTTTTCCTCTTCTATGGTACAGCATTCTTTTAGCCTGAGCCTGCTCGTGGCCAGGTTTTTCCTATCGTGTACCTGCCCTCCCTGCCAACATATCTTTCCCTCAGCATCCATGTGCCTGGCTCAGCTTGGAGGGGATATAGCCACAGAAGTTTATCTTCAAATGGCTATTAACCCCTAACACAGCAAACTTTTATGAGTGACAAGTGCAGGAATAGGGGTGGGCTGAGGTGTGAAAGTGCATTAACTAGGTGATCTGAGGTGTAAAGGTGCAGGAACAGAGGTGATCTGAAGTGTGAAGGTGCAGGATTTGGGATGAGCTTAAGTGTTAAGGTGCAGTAACTGGGGTGATATGGGCTGTAAGGGTACAAGAATTGGTGATGATCAGTGGTATAAAGGTGCAGGTATTTGGGTGATCTGAGGTGGGAAAATGCAGGAATTGGGGCTGTTCCGAGGTCTGAAGGAACAGGAATTGGGGCTGATCTGGGTTGTAAAAATGCAGGAATTGGGGTGAACTGAGGACTGGCAGTGCAGAGATTGTGATTGATCTGAGGTTTGAAGGTGCAGGAATCGGGGTTTATTTGAGGTCTGGAGGTGCAGGAATTGGGGCTGATCTGGGGTTTGGAGGTGCAGGAATTGGGGTTATCTGAGGTGTGATGGTGCAGGAGTTGTGATCAGAGTTCTGAGGGTTCAAGAATTGGGGCTTATCTGAGACCTGACGGAGAAGGAAAAAAAAAAGTACCTACATACTTTTGTGTGCAATTTTAAACCAAGGCTCTTTCCTTTTAGAGATCTAAGGTTTTTATTTCGAACAATATTTTAATAAAAGGGAAAAAAAACCTACACTGCTATTATCATAGGACGAAAAATGCACATGATTTCATCCAAAAATAGATTCATATAACTTAAAATGATACAGAGGGCACACTATGACCTACTCATACTCTCTGCCATCTAGCAACCCTTCCATTGGCTTTCCATTGCCCAACGAATAAAATTCAAAACATTAACAATAACATATAAAGCCATTTATAACTCTGCCTGAAATTACATCACCATTTTTGTCTCCAAATATCACCCAAACCATCCTCTCTGCTCCTTCTAAGACCTCCTGCCCTCTAGCTTCGTTGTCTCCTCCTCTCATGCTCTTCTCCAGAACCTCTCCATCTTCTGGAACTGTCTACCCCAATCTGTCCAACTATCTCCTACTCTGTCCCCATTTAGGCTATTCCTGAAAGGGAATGCAAACGAAAAATAAGCAGGACACCAGGTCAGCATGGATAAAAACAGTAAAACTTTTTTATAAAACACTTACATCTAAAACTCCCTCAATGTGTGTGACAGGCAGGGACAGTGGAGCTAGGGGCATCGGAGGAGTGAAACCGATGATCTGTGCATGGCCTGAGGAGAGACCCGCTGTGGTGGACTCCACAGCGTCTCTCCGTGCCTTCCCGCCGATAGTAGGGAGAGGTGACAGGTGCCGTGAATGGAAAGGGGGGCAGGCTGCAACGCATTTCAGAAGCTCCGCCTCCTTTGTCAAGCAGGTCCACTACTGTGACAGCAGGGTATATATGAGCTGTCAGATCATGAGAAACCAATTGGAGGGGAAGAGGGGGGAGGAGTGCAAGGGGAATGAGACAACTGTACACGGTATAGGAGATCTCCGGGGATCGTGGATTAAAGCATGATGGAGACATAATGTACACACACCGGATAGAGTGTGTGAAAACGATCTAGAAGGCCAAAACAAAAAATGGTTAGATGGATGGAAAAGGAGAGGGAAATTGACTGAAGGGGGGGGGGGGGGGGAAGGGGGAATGAAGCGGATTAGATTATGTGTACGGAGAAGGAAAGAAAAAAAAAAAGGTGGGAACTGAGGACCATATAATGAGTGGAGAGGTAAGAAAGGGAAAATTGGCTGGATGGGAATTAAAGCGGGTTGGGCTCTATATTCTGAGAAGAAGACAACCAGGGAACTAGGGGCCATGCAGTTGATGATCGCATCCACCTGGTGTGTGTGTGTGTGTGTGTGTACATATGTACATGATGAGTAGCAACAGTGTCAATATGAAACATACATCTGAAAAGATAAAAAGTCTATTGATATATAAGATAATGCTGAATAATCTTATAATATGAATCAATAGTCTTTATAACAACATGAATGAAACCATACATGGGTACAAGGAGTGATAATAGTCATGATGTTAAATATAATAATAATAGTATTAAATAATAATTACAATTATTAGCTAAAAAAATTACACAGTATATCTGCTGAAATGAATAAATTACACTGAATCCGTGATAGGCACTCCAACAACAATGGTATAGCTAATGATTAGATAATGGTGTTAATTTCAAGCTCTTCATTCAGCCCTTTCGGTGACAGTGTATCAAGGGTAAAAATCCAGAAAGTCTCTCTAATACATAATTTGTGGAACCTATCCGCCTGGGAATCACGGGGGGGGGGGGTTGGGGTGGATTCCAAGACACAAACTTTGAGGTCATCGGTAGACTTGTTATGTTGGGTAAGGAAGTGTCGTGGGACACTATGGTCTTCACCCAGAATCCTGTCCTCCATCCATTTACCTTGTGGATTGGTTCTATTTTCCTTTTACACTCATTTCCATCCTCTGTGCGAGCGCTGCAGGGTTGTTCATTGTTACTGGTGATCATCATATATGCTATCTATTCAGGGAAGCCTATTCTGCCTTCAGCTAATAACCGAATCTTCTATTTCTCCCATCAGTTCACCCCCCACAGTTATTATTCTTAGCTCCCAGGAGCAGTGCCCTCCTAACCCTCTTGTATTAATCTGTATCGTTGCTGTATTCTCTCCCTTTATGTTGTAAAGTGCTGAGCAAACTGCGTTGGCGCTATATAAATCCTGCATAATAATAACAACCTATCACACTAATAGCTCTTTCTGTCCCACATGCCAAACTGAATATGGCTTGTTCATACATATAATGTGGACCTGCCCTCTGATTAGGGATGACTGGCTACAAAATTAATGACACCATAAATATAATCACAGGTGGAACCCTGGGCTGAGACCCTGCTATCTTTCTCCTAGGACAGATGGACATTTTGGACATATAGTATCCATATCTACCCAGCTTTTTATCACCTATGCTGCCTTCTATGCAAGGAAAGCAATGCTCCTTTTGCTGACAGCTCCCTGACCCTCCTGTATTTTCAGGAGGTATATCCCTTGTTGACTCTGCTTTTCCTCTATACTAACTTATATAGGGAGATACCGCCCCCAAAAATCTGACAAAATATGGTCTATTTGGTTAACATTCTACCATATGGAGAGCTCCCCTTAAAAAAAATCAAGGATGTTCTTACGAATATGTACAAACATTGTTATGATAACCATCTTCAGTTCTGACATACACACTTATACTACCAGTTTATGTAATATATTTATCAGAACTTACAATAGTGAGTTCCACATGTATTGTGTTGTACTTGACGTTTTTTCCTTTGTAAGCCTAGGTTTAAAGAGGTTTGTAAAGTCAATTATTTTTTTTTTACTAAAATAAAAAAGATGTTATACTTACATTTCAGCCCCGATCCTCCTCTTCTGGGGTCCCCTACTAATGCTGTCTGTTCAGTCTCTTCTCTGTGTGACACCATTTGAAGCCACTTCCTATGGGGGCACAGTGCCGAGCCAGGCTGTGTATGCCCATAGATACACAGCAAGCTGTGGCCCCACCCTGGGCTCCCTTCCCACTAGGCTTGACTGACAGCATCAGGAGCCAATGGCTCCCACTGCTCTCAACCACATTTGTGAGAGTGGAGAGAAAGGACTGAAGAGCTGCAGAAGGGCAAAGTGCTGGATTCATGTGGAACTGTGGTAAGTATTTAAGGAGGATGGGAGGAATGGGAATTATTGGAAAATAATACATGCAGTTACACAGCCTACTGTTGCAGCAGTAGTTCAGCTAGTATATGTATAGAATTGTTGATTTGTATATTTGCCAGGAGTTGCTGTTCAATTTATGTGAATATTGGGATTTGTTGTTGCTCTAGTAGTGTGTAAATATTTATTCCCAAGAATTATTAATAATGTAGTAAAGGTTCACTGATTCATTATGTTCAATTTAAATGTATTACTTTTTCAGGCCTTTACAACTGATTTCAGAGTACACTGGGCACAGCAGCATCCATTAAGACCTGAATTTGCAGAGAGTACATATTTCTTGTACAAAGTAAGATGTGTTCCACTTTCTGGAATCTGTGGTTGCTGTGAAAATGACAGTTGTCTCCTAAACAAAGATGTTTCTTGTTTGCTTAAACTATTACAGGCAACTGGGGATCCATACTATTTGGAAGTGGGAAGAACAATTATTGATAATTTGAATAAGTATGCTCGTGTTCCATGTGGGTTTGCAGCTGTTAAAGATGTACGTACAGGGAGTCATGAGGACAGGTATGATGTACCCATTTTTTTCCCTAAAAGCATTTATGGTAAAACACATTTAAAAAAAAAGGTATCGATCTATCAGGTATGTGCAGGCAAACCATTATAAACAAATTGAGGATGTTGTCAGGAGCATTGATAAATTAGTATACAGGAAGTTTATAGGCTGCTAGTAGGTGAAGGTGTGCATACGTGTAGCATTCTTTGTTTAGGTACATCATACCGTCTCTTGTGAGCTATCTCCTGCCAATCCAGTTCCTGATTTTTTTTTTTTTTTTTTTTTTTTTTTTTTTTTTTTTTTTTTTTTTTTTTTTCCAACATCAGAAATAATTAAAAAATTTAAGTGAGCATAACGGAGTAATAATATTCATAATAATTACTATGATGGGACCATAGATAATTATGGATTTTTTCATTGTTACATAATTAAAGTATAATATAATAATGCTCAAAAACCACTTTCTAAACCATGGGTGTGCACCAATAATTTTTTTTTCGGTTTATAGTGTGAGTAAACCTTACTTGTAATAGTAATTCTGCAGCTTATTTTGTAAAACTATGTGAAGCTATACACAATGATCTACGAAAAAAATAAACTTTTTTTGGCAAGAAATAAGTTTTCAGTTTAATGATATATATGTGTAAAATACATTTTATCTGGGTGATATTTGTTATTGCATTTTACATGTCCGCTTGCTTAGAGTGTTAGAAAACGTATTCATACCCCTTGAAATTTTCCACATTTTGTCATGTTACAACCGAAAACGTAAATGTATTTTATTGGGATTTTATGTGATAGACCAACACACAGTGGCACATAATTGTGAAGTGGAAGAAAAATTAAAAATGGTTTCAAAAGTTTTTACAAATTGAATATCTGAAAAGTGTAGCGTGCATTTGTATTCAACCCCCCTGAGTCAATACTTTGTAGAACCACCTTTCACTGCAAATACAGCTGCAATTCTTTTTGGGTATGTCTCTACCTGCTTTGCACATCTAGAGCGTGAGATTTTTGGCCGTTGTTTGAAAAATAGCTCAAGCTCTGTCAGATTGGATGAAGAGCATCTGTGAACACGAGTTTTCAAGTCTTGCCACAGATTCTCAATTGGATTTAGGTCTGGGCTTTGACTGGGCCATTCTAACACATGAATATGCTTTGATCTAAACCATTCCATTGTAGCTCTGGCTGTATGTTTAGGGTTGTTGTCCTGCTGGAAGGTGAACCTCCCCCCCAGTCTCAAGTCTTTTGCAGACTCTTAACAGGTTTTCTTTAAGATAGTCCTTTAGTTGGCTCCATCCAACTTCCCATCAATTATGACCAACTTCCCTGTCCCTGCTGAAGAAAAGCAGCCCACAACATGATGCTGCCACCACCATGTTTCATGGTGGGAATGGTGTGTTCAGGGTGATGCGCAGTGTTTTCTGCCACACATTTTTGCTTTTAGGGCAAAGTTCAATTTTGGTATCATCTGACCTTCTTCCACGTGTTTGGTGTGTCCCCCATATGGCTTCTCACAAACTGCAAATGGGGCTCCTTTATGGCTTTTTCAACAATAGCTTTCTTCTTGCCACTCTTCCATAAAGGCCAGATTTGTGGAGTGCAGAACTAATAGTTGTCCTGTGGACAGATTCTTCCACCTGAGCTGTGGATCTTTGCAGCTCCTCCAGAGTTTCCTCTGGCTTCTTGGCTGTTTCTCTGATTAATGCTTTTCTTGCCCGGCCTGTCAGTTTAGGTGGATGACCATATCTTGGTATATTTGCAGTTGTGCCATACTCTTTCCATTTTCGGATGCTGGATTGGAACAGTGCTTCGTGAGATGTTCAGAGCTTGGGATATTTTCTATAACCTAACCCTGCTTTAAACCTATCCACAGCTCTATCGCTGACTTGTCCAGTGTGTTCCTTGGCCTTCATGATGCTGTTTGTTCACTAATGTACACACAGGTGGACTCTATTTACTAATTAGGTGACTTCTGAAGGCAGTTGGTTCTGGTAGATTTTAGTTAGGGGTAACAGAGTAAAGGGGGCTGAATACAAATGCACGACACACTTTTCAGATATTTATTTGTAAAAAAAAAAACCAGAATTTTCCTTCCACTTCACAATTATGTGCTACTTTGTGTTGGTCTATCACATAAAAGCCCAATAAAATACGTTTATGTTTTTGGTTGTAACATGACAAATTGTGGAAAATTTCAAGGGGTATAAATACTTTTTCTAAACACTGTACTTGCTATTTTTTTGCATAAAGGCATATAACCTCAGGCATGACTATTCAATAATTTTACTACAATTTTTTGTTTTAAGGATGGATTCCTTTTTCCTGGCAGAGATGTTTAAATATCTCTATTTGCTGTTCTCTGAGAGGGAGGATCTTATACTTGATATAGAAGATTACATTTTTACTACAGAAGCACATCTTTTGCCTCTTTGGCTGTCCACTGCAAACCACTCAAAACAAAAGAAAAACACAGTATGTATTTGTTTTTTATTCATTGATATATTGATATAAATCCACAGCCCTTGTGTAAAAAAAAAAAGTTGCTGTTGGGTGGGGTGTAGGTGTTGAGGAAAGTATGGTTTAGGAAGAGGGGCATTAACTGTTAAGATGGGTATACACAAATGGTTGTTTGAATGAAAAATATGATGGAATGCTAGAGTACACATATACCAGAAGTCGGTCAGTTCATGCTGATGAGGAACATTATATTGCTGCAGGGTTGTAAAAGATTCCCATTAGAGATAAGATTAACGTATACTGAAAGAAGGGTACGGTTTAAGCGTGAGGAGGAGGGTAAGAGCTGAGGCATTACCTAGGGTTTAGGATAACAGGTAATGGTTCAGGTACAAGTGCAGAGGGCTAAGCATTAGTAAGTGCTTTACTACCAGGGACGATTTATAGTTGTATACAACTATGCAAGTGACAGGTGAGCTGAATACTGAGAACTAACGTGTAGCCCATTTACAAGTCCTAGTACGATGGGGCACTCTGAGACTTCTGATTCACAGAAATTAGAGATTTCTCCCTTACTGTAGTGTCAGGTGATATATTTATTCTCAGCAGCAGTAGCCGATCACTTGCAGCTTTCTTTACAAGATCGTTTGCACAGAACCAGTGTAAACTGTGTAGCGGGCCAGTGTTTTATTCCTACACTAAAGCACTTTCCCTGACCCTACCCTGGCTATCCCTCTAACACAGTGGTTCTCAACCTTTCTAATGCCGCGACCCCTTAATACAGTTCCTTATGTTGTGGTGACCCCCAACCATAAAATTATTTTCGTTGCTACTTCATAACTGTAATTTTGCAGTGGAAGGAATAGTGCCTCATCATTTGTGTCAGTGGGAGGAATAGTGTCCCATCATTGATATCAGTGGGAGGAATAGTGCCCCATCACTGATGTCAATGGGAGGAATAGTGCCCCATCATTGGTATCAGTGGTAGGAATAGTGCCCCCATCATTGGTGTCAGTGGTAGGAATAGTGCCCCATCATAGGTGTCAGTGGGGGGAATAGTGCCCCATCATTGGTGTCAGTGGGAGGAATAGTGCCCCATCATTGGTGTCAGTGGGAGGAATAGTGCCCCATCATCAGTGGGAGGAATGTCCCCATCATTGTGGGAGGAATAGTGCCCCATCATTGGTGTCAGTGGGAGGAATAGTGCCCCATCGTTGGTGTCAGTGGGGGAGGAATAGTGCCCCATCGTTGGTGTCAATGGAGGGGTGCCCCCGTGATCATAGAGTGTGCCCCATCATTGGGTGTCCCCCAGGGAATAGTGCCCCATCATTGGTGTCAGTGGGGGGAGGAATAGTGCCCCATCATTGGTGTCAGTGGGAGGGAATAGTGCCCCATCATTGGTGTCAGTGGGGGGAATAGTGCCCCATCATTGGTGTCAGTGGGGGGGGAATAGTGCCCCATCATTGGTGTCAGTGGGGGGGAATAGTGCCCCATCATTGGTGTCAGTGGGGGGAATAGTGCCCCATCATTGGTGTCAGTGGGAGGAATAGTGCCCCATCATTGGTGTCAGTGGGGGAATAGTGTGCCCCATCATGGTGTCAGTGGGAGGAATAGTGCCCCATCATTGGTGTCAGTGGGGGGAATAGTGCCCCATCATTGGTGTCAGTGGGAGGAATAGTGCCCCATCATTGGTGTCAGTGGGGTGTCAGTGGGGGAATAGTGCCCCATCATTGGTGTCAGTGGGAGGAATAGTGCCCCATCATTGTTGTCAGTGTCATCACTGTGGGAGGAATAGTGCCCCATCACTGGTGTCAGTGGGAGGAATTAGTGCCCCATCATTGGTGTCAGTGGGAGGAATAGTGCCCCCCCATCATTGGTGTCAGTGGGAGGAATAGTGCCCCATCATTGGTGTCAGTGGGGGAATAGTGCCCCATCATTGGTGTCAGTGGGGGGAATAGTGCCCCATCATTGGTGTCAGTGGGAGGAATAGTGCCCCATCATTGGTGTCAGGGGGGAATAGTGCCCCATCATTGGTGTCAGTGGGAGGAATAGTGCCCCATCATTGGTGTCAGTGGGGGGAATAGTGCCCCATCGTTGGTTGTCAGTGGGAGGAATAGTGCCCCATCATTGGTGTCAGTGGGAGGAATAGTGCCCCCATCGTTGGTGTCAGTGGTGTGCCCCATCGTTGGGTCAGGGAGGAATAGTGCCCCATCATTGGTGTCATCAGTGGGAGGAAATAGTGCCCCATCATTGGTGTCAGTGGGAGGAATAGTGCCCCATCGTTGGTGTCAGTGGGAGGAATAGTGCCCCATCGTTGGTGTCAGTGGTGTGCCCCATCGTTGGTGGGGAGGAATAGTGCCCCATCACTGGTGTCAGTGGGAGGAATAGTGCCCCATCATTGGTGTCAGTGGGAGGAATAGTGCCCCATCATTGGTGTCAGTGGGGGGAATAGTGCCCCATCGTTGGTGTCAGTGGGAGGAATAGTGCCCCAGTGGGAGGAATAGTGCCCCCATCATTGGTGTCAGTGGGAGGAATAGTGCCCCATCGTTGGTGTCAGTGGGGGCCCCCATCATTGGTGTCAGTGGGGAGGAATAGTGCCCCATCGTTGGTGTCAGTGGGGGGGAATAGTGCCCCATCACTGGTGTCAGTGGGAGGAATAGTGCCCATCATCATTGGTAGTCAGTGGGAGGAATAGTGCCCCATCATTGGTGTCAGTGGGGGAATAGTGCCCCATCATTGGTGTCAGTGGGAGGAATAGTGCCCCATCACTGGTGTCAGTGGGAGGAATTAGTGCCCCATCATTGGTATCAGTGGGAGGAATAGTGCCCCATCATAGTGGGAGGAATAGTGCCCATCATTGGCGTCAGTGGGAGGAATAGTGCCCCATCATTGGTGTCAGTGGGAGGAATAGTGCCCCATCGTTGGTATCAGTGGGAGGAATAGTGCCCCATCGTTGGTATCAGTGGGAGGAATAGTGCCCCATGGTGTCAGTGGGAGGAATAGTGCAGTGGGAGGAATAGTGCCCCATCGTTGGCGTCAGTGGGAGGAATAGTGCCCCATCGTTGGTATCAGTGGGAGGAATAGTGCCCCAGTGTTGGTGTCAGTGGGAGGAATAGTGCCCCATCGTTGGTGTCAGTGGGAGGAATAGTGCCCCAGTGGGATCGTTGGTGTCAGTGGGGGGAGGAATAGTGCCCCATCATTGGTAATAGTGACACCAATGATTGGGCACTTTTCCTCCCATTGACACCAATGATACTTACCTTGCTGACCCCTGCTCCAGCCTGGGCTCGCTCGCTCCCTCCCTCTCCCATGGTACAAACACTTACCGGTCAGATGTCTTCCTTCTCCGGCCGCTTTCCTCCTCTTCACTCGCTCGTGCTTCGCGGTGCCGCTCGGCTCCTCCTTTCCAAGCTCCACCTCCTCGCCGGTGATTGGCCGCCTGTGTGCCTCTCTTGAGCTACAGTTCCGGCGGCCAATCACCGACGAGGAAGGATTGATCCCGGGGGTGTGTCCAGATGACAGGGACGGCATGTCATCCCGCCCACACCTGCAGACGGATCAAGGAGCGGTGTCTCGGTTCCTAAGGCCATCGGAAATATGTGTTTTCCGATGGTCTTAGGCGACCCCTGGGAAAGTGTCGTTCGACCCCCAAAGGGGTCGCGACCCCCAGGTTGAGAACCGCTGCTCTAACACTTAAAATGATACATTAACACTTAAGCGTCTCTGACCCTAAAACCAGCCTCCTGACCTAGTCTCTAAATCACGTTTTATTTTTTCCCAATTATTTCTTCTACGGTAATTCTGTCCACAAGGAATATTACGCTGGTGTTTTTGAGCCACATGGAACTCCTTTGTGGCCTGAGGCCAGTTTAAAATTTGAACTAAATAATTCTCCACGTAATCAAAGAGGTACTGCACAAATAAAGAAGAATTCTAAATATGCAAATTTTATACATAGTTATATTGGTCCAGCTTGGATCAATGTAAATATGCATATTCCATATCTAGCCAATCCCCCTGGAAGTTGGAGATGACTAAAGTAGACACCTCTACTTCAATGATCTTCACTTGCTTCTGGGTTCCATGTTGAGCAGCTGCCCTGCTGCATTGTTAACACAGGAGGTCGACTGCTCTGCACCAGTGCTATTCAGAGGATTCAGAGGATACTTTGCATTCCCTGAATGAATACAAAACGTTCTCTGATTGGACAAGGTAGAGTGGTGGGGCAGTGACATGACCTCCAGATAGATATTTAGGGTAACATTGAAGAGGAAGTGATAGATGTGTGTTCTACCTGCCATAGAGAAAATAATATGATGCTACTACCCATACAGACCTACATCAATAGAGCTCAGTGGTGCTTGATCTCCAGTTGCACAGCTGAGAGTAATAATCCACAATCTGCACAACCGATGTAGCTCTAAAATCTTGTCTTTATTAAAGGCAAGATTTTAGAGCTACTTTGGTTGTGCAGATCATGTTTATGGTGTTCTAACTGCCACAGGATTTGTAGTTTTGCTTAGTCTTGGAATTCACAAAACCTCTGCCCCTGCGCCAGTCAAATGGCAGCACTATTTGCCATTTCAGATTTGCAGCATCCTGTGTCTTCTGCCTGCTCTTCATACATTGAGCGGCAGTAAGATGGTGCGTTTTGTTGTTCATTGATCACCAGGTAACAGAGGTACCCGTAGTGTTTTTTGCCTGTCTTTTGGATGTATCTGTTGTGATTTTCCTATCTGGTTGTGTTTACTGTATTTGGTTTGTGCTTTTTACCTCTTGTTTTGATAGTTAAAGTTGTAACATTAATACCCCGATCACACCGGGTGCAACTTGCCATGTGATTTGCCATGCGAGTTGCAAATCGCATGGCCAGTCGCAACCTGTTGTCCGCAATTAAAGCATTCATATTGGTACGATTTTGACTTGGTTGGAGCCACACCAATTTCTAAAGTAGTGCATGCACTACTTCAGGTGTGACTTGCATAGACATCTGTGTCTTGCATGTCACACCTCAAGTTGGAATGACATCCGACTTTGAAATCCTGCAACTTCACTGGATGTCACTCAATTTCAAAGTTGGATTAGTATGACTGGGGTGTCAAGCTAACGTTTGTTTATTTTTGGTGGGGTATCCCATGCCACAGACATTAGTTATGTGTAATAGTGTGTATTTCATTACCTGCAGGCTGCTGGTAAATCTTCCCTGCTGTGCCTCTTCACAGCTGCTGGTAATTGTTCTGTGAATGGGCAGTGGAATCCTGTCATTCAGCTGTTCCACCACCCATTCACAGAATGTGATGCATTGTGGGAGCTTAATAATAACAGTTATGTGAATTGTGGAAGGGGGTAGGTTATCAGCGCAATTGTTTTTTTTTTTTAACAGCAGCTGTGGTTAATTTCCACAGTGCTGGAAAACAACAGTTCAGGACTGTATCCAGCGGCTCTGATGAGGCACCTCAGGGAAGATTTTTAGTACAAGTAGCAACCTGCAGGCAATGGAATCCCTTATTACACAAAAAATATACTAAACTTTAGCTTAAAGCACACTTTTTATAAATATGTTCATGGATTGCAAGACTGGCTGTACAGAATTACATTTTTGTTGCAAGTAAAACTGAACAATGAGGTGTATTTACTCAAATAAATGAGTAGTAGCAATAAGAATGTAGTTAGAAATAAGTCTAATGATTCTAAATGTAAATGTTTTTCGTTGGTTTTCCTGCACTTGATTGGTAATAACATAAATGGTCATGCTATAACTTCGTGAAAGTAAAGCTTGTTTTAACTGAATTACCATAATTGCTTGCAGACTACACAGTATACAGAGCTTGATGACAGCAACTTTGATTGGTCTTGTCCAAATACACAAATCCTTTTCCGTAATGACCCTTTGTATGCCCAGAGTATTCGCGAACCCTTTAAAAATGTGGTTGACAAGAATTGTCCTCGTACTACTTCAGGAATGTGAGTCATCTATATTTTTTATGTCAAATTTGTAACAATGAACTTTATAACATGATGAACATATGTGTGTGTATATGCATATGTGTGTATGTAATCCTTACAGGACTGAGATTGAGCTCTGCAGTCACTTTTGCAGCAGTTGTTTTCTTATTCCGGGTCACAATCCTGTGCAGTGTCCTTTTTTGTCTCTTTTGGTCAGTTGACCATGTCAACAGTGCTTATGCTTATCAGACGACATTTTCATGGGAACTGTATATGCCATCTTAAGCTTTGATACTGCACCTTGCGACACTGCAAATAAATTGGCAACTTCAGTCACAGAGGCACCAGCTAAGCAGGCACCAACTATTTGCCCTCTTTGAAACTCAGTAAGCTGACATGACTCCTTATTAGCAGTGCATGCAGTGAATGATGAAAGTCAGGCTTCCAACCTGTTAGCTAGGTGTCTCATCACACAGTGAAAACAAAAGAATGTTACTTCACTTCTGCTTTCAATGAAAAACATGACGTCACTTTCACACCTGCAAATCGTGTTTTCTTTTTTTGTCTAACCTCTGTATAAATGGATGGATGGATATAAAAATTGATTTTTTTCCATAAATAGCAGGATGGTGTAATGGATTGTGTGGATGAACTTTGTTGTAGGGATGAGCTTTCTGGGAATAGAAACAGACCACCATTGCGAGCTAGAGATTTCATGGCCAGCAACCCTGAACATTTAGATATCCTGAAGAAAATGGGCGTCAGTCTAATTCACCTGAAGGATGGAAGAGTTCAACTAGTCCAACATGCTAATCAAGTAAGCACATTATTCTCTTGTCTCCTGTTCATTCATCCTGAACATATTAATAAACAAGAATGGTACACTTAAAATTTGTGAAATTTTAAAGCTTTTTACATTTACATTTCAACACTTGAGTTGAAATAAACTGCCTCCAGTGGCTAAGTGCTTCCACCTGGCAGCACTAGGGTTGTCTGTTGAAAACCCAACCATGACACTATCTGCAGAGTTTGCTTGTTCTCTCTGTGCCTGTGTGGGTTTCCTCTGGGTACTCCGGTTTCCTCCCACATTCCAAAGACATGCTGGTAGGTTAATTGGCTCCTGTCTAAATTGGCCCTAGTATGTGTATGTATTTGAGTTATGGACCTTAGATTATAAGCTCCTTAAGGGCAGGGACTGATGTGAATGTATAATATGTGTAAAGCTCTATATAAGTACCAGAAATAATTAAGCTCAGGAATTTTCTGCAGTTCTGTGTTAGCGTCTCTTAAAAATGTAATTTAGTTAACATACACAATCAATGTTTTACATCACTATATATTGTTTACTGCGCCATGATTTAAACAGTGACTTATCAATTAGTAAATACAAAATTATCAGATTTTTATTGGCAATACCTCATGTATGTGCATTATGTAGCTGCTGATCAGGCTTGTACAGAAGTTAGGAGGTATTTGTAACTCACTGTACAGAATTGTTTTGCTTGTGTTTATCTTTTTGTTTTTTCATTTTTTTTCAGCCACTTTATTATTAATGTACGCCTGTGTTTTGGTTCATTGTTGAGTTCTTGGACTTTATATCAAACAGATGTCCTGACAGCCTACTGTCCAATTTCCTAATACAGCTCTGGATTTATTACTCCTTCAATGATTTTAAAACCACTTGATCCTGATGTAGAAAAAAACTCCTAATCTACTATGTTTTGCATTTGGGATCTAGTTTATGGTGTTGGTACACAGTGTTTCTCCAAACATAATGCTGTGTATATGTATCAAAAAAAGTTCAGCGTTTTGTTTTTGCTGTAGACCAGTGATATTTTCCACGGTAGAGACTCCAAAGCTAGAGACACATAATTTTGCCTCTGTGCAAAGCTTTAGTAAGACCTTCTCTGAAATATGCCATCCAGTTTTGGGCACCAGTTCACGAAAAAAAAAAAATGGGGAATAATAGAGGGAGAACAGAGAAGGGCAACTAAACTAATAAGAGGCTAGGAGGAGCTCAACTATAAGGAAAGATTAGCTGAACTGAATTTATTCTCTCTTCTGAAGAGGTGATCAATGCGGAAGTGGGGGGGAGGGTATGATCACAGTGTATAAATACATAAATGGTTCATATAGTGAACTTGGTGTAAAATTATTCAATGCAAAAGACTAGGGACACATTAAAAACAAAACAAAAGGCAAAGGCTCCAGGCAGGAGCTCCTATGACATATATTTTTTTTTCTGCCGGCTGGCAGAGAACAAGCAATTCAGGCAAGTTCAAATTACTATAAAAAGGGCCTGCAAGCCCATATTCATTGAACAATTAAATCTATGGGGTTAATTTACTAAAACTGGAGAGTGCAAATCTGGTGCAGCTCTGCATAGAATTCAATCAGCTTTCCGTTTTTTTTTTTTTTTTTTTTTTTTTTTTTTTTTTACAAAGCTTAATTGAACAAGCTGTAGTTAGAAGCAGGCTATCATGCATAGCTACACCAGATTTTGCACTCTCCAGTTTTAGTACCACCCCTATGGGTTACTTTCTTTCCATAAAATCAGTTGATATTGCAACCCTATACTTGTATTAGACTTTTGTCAAGAACACTTGATGGCTCTTCCAGTCTTGTGAGAATTGTGAAAGTGGGAGTGGGTACCTGTCACAAAAAGGTACCCATTCCCAGGGGACAAAAAAACACCAACTATGGTGTCCGTTTATGAACCAGCAGTAATAGATCGCTGCTCAGTTCTCCGGCATTCTCGGAGAACACAGTTCTCCTGTGAATGCCGTTTATGAAGCATATGTAGATCAGTTCTCCAAACGAAGGGAGAACGGTCTACAAACGCTGGAAAACGTCTGATTTTATTATAATCTCGCGAGATTACAGTAAAAGATCAGTTTACTAAGCAGAAGTAAATTATCTCTGCTTAGTTTGCGTCCCTCCAATTCTCCAGCTCTGGGCTGGAGAATCTGGAGGGAGAACACAGATCTCCAGTGAAGGGCTGAACATGTTCTCCTGAGTGTCATAAACTGTGAATGACCAGAGAATAGCTGCGATCCTCTGAATCGCAGCTATTCTCTGTGTCACCTTTGTTAGAGGAGGGACCTTCACTTAATCAACTTTAAGAGCCTGTTCACACTTGGGCGTTTCCAGTCTTGGGCAGAATCGCCACAAGCTTATTCTAGCTGATGTCTCCCTCGTTCCTGGGCAGATTGATAGCAGCGGGAGCCATTAGCTCCCACTGCTGTCAATCAAATGCTGTGCTGAGGAAAAGTGTCTTTCCATGGGAGCACCTGCTGAAGATGAAGGGCCAGTAGTGCTGCCAGGGGACCCTAGAAGAAGAGGTTTGGGCTGCTCTGTACAAAATCACTGCACAGAGCAGGTAAGTAATAAAATGTTTGTTATTTTTAATAGAAAAAAAAAAAGCTTTGATGTCACTTTAAGTACTGAAGAGGATAGCAAGTTGTTGTTGTGGGCTGTGTGTGTTAATGGTTTTATTCTTTTTTGGGGGGGAGCTCTGCAGTAAGGTCTTGTTTATTCTTCATTTGCTGTTGAAAGAGCCATCCGCATTCAGATTGCCCTTCAGAGAGCATTTTACAGGTGGTGAGGAGACATTGTATCGCTTCTCACTGCCTGTTTTAACCCCCCTAAATGAAAAGCTACTCAGCAACACTGCATGCATTGTGCACAGTTGTAGGGCACTTGCATTGCAGCGTTTTTAACTTGAATGGGTCACATTCAGCAGACAGTAGTGAAGTGTGGTAAAAACTGAACTCGCAGAGTTTTAGCTGCCATCAATTTCAAAACTATCTTTTTTTTTTTTTCTTGAAACAGTACATTTTTTGAATTTAAGCATTTGATATGTTTACTATCCTGAATAAATTACAGCTTTGAGTTTTACAGATCTAGTGCATTCTGTTTTCATGTAGGAAAAAGTCCCAACTGTTTTGGGATTGGGGCTGTATTGATGACTACTCACAACATAACTTTGTATCCAGCTCTGTATCAATCTCCATATTAAATATGAACTATGCCATAGATGTGTCATCTAATGCTAATTTGCTGGATCTGGAATACTGAACGGATACTTTGCAGACCTAGAATATATCACTGGTGGTGAGAAAGGGATTACTGTTCAGTACCTACAAACATTCAACCAGAGTTCAAAATACCTTAAAAGCGTTTGTCTTTGCCCTCTTTCACAACATCTGGTTTATCCGCATAGAATTAATGTCATGCGGTTTTACTAGAGGAATAGCTATGCAAATTGTATATCAATAGATTCCAATTAGTATCAGTAACCTCAATTCCAAAAGCTTCCACCTGATCCAAATCTTTATCGGGACTTTGGGATCTACAGCGTTTCCCAATGTGATTATTTTCACCAAGAGCTAGTAGTACAGCTGACATGCTGTAGATTGAATGAGTGTAACAAGCCATATATAGTAACACATAATTTGTTCCACAAGTGATAGATTTGGGAAGGCCTGTCCCTCTGTGTTTTACAGCTTGCTTCCTATTCCATATATAGCCACATATACAGTTCTTAAACAAAGGTAAAATGGAATCACATTTTAGAATTCTGTCACAGAGCCAGAAAAAAGGGGTTTACATTTTCTTTCTCACATATGTAATACCAGTTTTTCTGGTTTGCTTTCAGAAGGTCAGCAGTTCTCTGATTAAGCCTCACGTTTTGCAAACATATTTTGTAGTGGTGCATGAAATGAAAAAATTTTGGTCCAAAACCGAAAATTCAGGATGCATTTGGCCAAAAACTAAAACCGAAATAATGTGTGTGTGTGTGTGTGTGTATGTATTATATATATATATATATATATATATGTATGTATGTATATATATATATATATGTGTATAATGTGTGTGTGTGTGTGTGTATATATATATATGTGTGTGTGTGTGTGTGTGCTATATTCAACTTTTTAATTTAATATCATGCATTTAAATGAATATGAATTTATTTTCAGCACCTTTTCGGCCAACAGGCTGCTTTCACCCTGAGCAGCTTTTGCATTAAAAAAGAGTCGCAAGAAAAGCTTAAAAAAAAAAAAAAAAAAAAAAAAAAAAAAAATGCATCCCATCCCTTTGTCTTCACACTGGTCCGTTGCGCTTCCCTTGCAATGCTAAAAATCCTGCTTACCCATTTTTGGTGCATATTTGGCAAGTTTAAAAAAAATCTCCCCCATTGAGGCCTGGTTCACACCAATGCAGTTTTTTGGGCTTTTTTTTTTTTTTATTGAGCTGCTGCATTTTTGGGAAGGATCAGGGACTTTTTTGAAAAGCAAAATTTCGCATTTTTGGTTCAATAGGCTTCAAAGGAGGTGCTGCAGAAAAGGCATTTAGTGCATTTTTTACGTGTTTTCACGTGGTTGCCTGCGTTCTTGATACAGTTTTGTGCTTTATATGCAAAAAGCATTAAACATGCGAACCAGGCCTGAAATACATTGATAATGCAGCAAAAATGCATAAAAAATGCACATGTTGCGGTTTTGATGCTTTTTTGCCTTTTTATTTTGCCCAGCAGCAAGTTGACCAAAAAAATCAAAAAAAAACGCATCAGAAATGTACTGCAAAATGCAAACTGCATTGGTGTGAACCAGGCCTTAAATGCATTGTAAAGACATTAAAATGCACACGTGATGCGTTTGTTACGTTTTGTATTTTGTAATCTGCCCTGCAACAAGCTGGCCAAAAATTAAAAAAAAAAAAAAAAAAAAAAAAAGCAAAACTCATCAAAAAATGCATCAAAAATGTTCGCACAAAAACATCCATGCAAATATGCAAAACTGACAGTACGCAAAC